AGCACTCGTTGCTAGAAAGATTCTCTTTAAACAAAGCCAATACTCAAAACTTTAAATAAAAATGTTAAAAAAAATTTAAAAACCAAAGCTATTTGAATTTGTCGCTTTGCTATTTCTACATCCCTCTCCCACTTCTGCCCCCTCGGGCCATGCAGAAGAAATCTAATCCCTCTCACATGTGAAAGCCCTCAAAATACTCGAAGCTGGTGCTCAATTTATCTCCCTCATAACCCCATCTTCTCCAGGCTCAATGCCCACAGTTCGTTCAGCTCCTTGTCTCAAGGGCACCATGACAAAATGGATCCCCTTGAATAAGCAGCATGCGGATCCCAAGGAGGAGGCTGGAGCCCATCCAGCAATGTTTCCGACTGTCCAGTCTGCTTCCACTTCCTAATGGCTCCATTCATTTAGCAGCCTCTAGACTCTTTCCTTTGGGGCTTTCCTTCCTTTCCTCTGGATTGTCTGATTTAGGCTTCTGCTGATGCATGACTGACTGTAGCCAAATACTTTCTGTATGTCCCCCTTCTGAACTGTTGATTTTGAAATTTCAGAGGGTTGTAAGGGTGAGTGTCTGTTTTGAAACAAAGAATATTTTGAAATGGAAATAAAACTTAGTTCCAGAAGTTTAGAGACAGTGTCTCTCCACAAGTTTCACAAGTAAATATTCCTTTACTGGAAAGAATTTTTAAAAAACATTTGGTAATTACATTTTTCAAGTCTGAAATGACTCTGGCTTACTATCAATTCATATTTCTGTCTGAATTATGAATCCTGGAAATATTTGTTGACGGGAAGCGGTCCTGGTGTTCCGCATTCTCTTGGCAATACTTTATGATCAATTATAGGTATCTGAGTAATAAAGTATGTTGGGCTCACTGTAATCCTTCCTCACACTTTGTGGCTAAAGTGAAACCACAGATGGAGTTCCTCCCTCCATTGATGCTTGGAGTCAACCCTTGAAGACTTGGTTGGCAGGACCTTATGAGTTACTATGAACAAAATGGTCCATCATCTCACGGTTAGTCTTCTGAGTTTGGGCCTCTCTGAATTTACCTAGACTATTACAGATAGTCACATAGTCCATCATGGACCCCTTTCTCAGAGTAATCTCAACTTGATAGACCTTGCCCTTTGACATAATCTTTGAGAACCCAGGGCCATTTCCACACCAGGCAGCCAGGATAATGCAGGGCCTCCGATGCCAGGCCTATGAGGACTAGCTGAAAGTATTGAAGATGTTTATCCCAATGAAGAGATAATTCAGGACAGAGTGAATAATTGTCTTCAGGTATTTAAAAAGGAATCCCTGGGAAGAGGAATTTGTTCTCCCACTTGGCCCCAAAAGGCAGAAGTAGAAAAATGGATGAACTCTACAGAGAGATAAATTTACACTTGATGTCAGGAGAAAAAAAAATCCTACCAATCCCCAAAGTGAAATATTGCTTGAGTATATTATGGGTTCCTCCTCATTAGAGCTTTTCAAACAGAAACTAGATGACCACCCTGCTAGTATGGTGCAGCAGTGGGTAATGAATTGAGTAGAGCAAGAGACTGGGTGTCTGTAAGACTTGAGTTCATATCTTGACTAGGGCGCTCGTGTGGCCCAGGCAAGGTCACTTAAACCTGTTTGCCTGTTTACCCATTTGTAAAATCTGGCCAATAATTGTACCTATCTTGCAGGGTGGTTGTGAGGGGTAAATGAGATGATATTTATAAAGGTCTTTGAAAACTTTAAGCCACTATATAAATTCTAGTTATTACAATTATTGTTATGACCACTCTCCTGAAATGTTGTAGGGGAATTTGTGGTTAAGTCTGAATAGGTCTTGACTAAGCACTGAATTCTCCCCTGGGAGTCAGTAGGACGGTTCCTTGCAACACCTGATGTAAAATACAATACTAGAGAGAAACCATCACCAATCAGCTGATTTCTGCATAAATGAAGAATCCAAAGGTGGCTTCTTGCCTTTGCTTATCATTACCTCTTTTAGCTGATTAGTGTCGCATCAGTCTCCTTGTTGGAAACACATTTGTATCCCACAAATCATGCTTCTTTCTTCATGAATTATCCCTCAGCTGTAAGGTCAGGCTGTTCTGATGGATCATTTCTGAGCCTTGGCCCCCAATCAGAGCTCATATTTCATCTCTGAAATGGAGTAAAGGTTAGCCATGAATCTCCCTGCTTGTCTTCATTCATGCAATCAAGACCACTCAAAATTCCACATTCTTCTCTAAGAATATGGTCACCTTACCTAAAGGAAAACTCAGAGAACTCCCTTATTTATGCCTATTTTAAGCCTTATCCTTCCTGGAGATACTTGTAGAAAGGTTTGGGGCTTTATGAAAATGAAGCAGCTGATTCGAGTCTGGTAAGATCCATATCCTCCTCTTGAGTGCAGCTATATTTATGTAAAGATGTCTAAGACTGGAGAATGCAAATAATGATAATTACAATAACAACAATAATAATAACTAGCATTATATAGTGTTTCAAATTTTGCAAAGTGTTTTATATGTGTTAACTCATTTGATCCTCACAATAAACCTATGAATACTCATTATACAAATGAGAAACTGAGATTAAGTGACTTGCCCAGGGTCATACAGCTAGTGTCTGAGGCAAGATTTGAACTTAATTCCTCCTGACTACAATCCTGTGTTCCATCCGTTGTGCTATCTAGCTATCTAAACTCCTCTTCTGGAGCTCTTGTCAGGGCCAAAATGAGAGTATGAGGGGAAAAAAAGCACTGAATTTATAATAAAGAGGGATTAGGTTCAAATCCAGTCTCAGTAAATAACTAACCATGCTAGTCTGGGCAAGAAGAAAGCTGGACTGTGAGAGCCCAGGACCCTTCCAATCCTTCAGGCTGCTTGGTATGCCATCAAGGAGAATGAGGTCACCTTGAACAGTACTGAGAGATGGCTGAATGGGAGCATACCTGATTTGGGAAGTTCAGTTTGAGGAAAGCATCAGGGGTCATGTGGGGATCGGCAAAAGAGAAAGACTATGAAGAAGTAGCCTTCCCAGGGCAGAGAGGGCTAGGGATTGGGAACACTGGCTGTCCACTGGGATTTGGCTGGAGAACAAAATGAGATTTGGGAGTCATCCAAGCAGGGACCTAGTTGCTACCACAAGCCTGCCTCACCCCCAACCACCATCTTGCACCCAGCATAGTGCCAGCAGTGAGAAAAAGCTCAAATTTGTTCCCATACAGTGCCTGACTCCTGAGCTTTTGTTTTCTTCTTGTCTCTACTTTGGGAAGAGACTGGAGCACAGAGGTACTTAGGGACGTGGGGTATCATAATGGGGAACAGGAAGGAAATGGAGGTTCATGGCATTAGGCAGATGGTTAGCATGAGGAAACTCCAATGGTGGACACTGGGGAGGGGAGGAGAAGGGGAAGCACCCCAAAGGTGTGTGGAACATGATGTCAGATTAATGGCTAGAGGTGGACAGCCAGACACAGAACATGATCATAGGTAATTGGCCACATACGTCAGGAATTGGGCTACAAGATAGGAGATGAGAAGAGGGACCCAATCCTTGGGCTGAGATATTAGGGATTTGTGAAAGGAAGTTGACTGTCAAGGTCAATGACAGAGAAGTGCGGGAAACCAGGGGTAAGCAACAAAAAGGACTTATTGCTATTTTACTTATCAGAGCTATGGATGCTCCTACTTGGTACATGTGTGTCTAAATATTTAATATATCTGGAAAGTATGAATATACAAAGAACTGAGCTGTGAGAAGAAAACCTTTCATTCAACACTAGTGAGTCTACAAGAATTAGGATCTGAAGATGAGCATGACAAAATCCCTATTAACAGAAGGATCTTTGCTAAAAATAACAAAAACAAAATTCCCATTATTTTGTAATAGAGTACCATCCTCTGGCTGTGGGATTTTTCATACGAAAGACAAAGATAAAGGGTCTATGTTTAGGATGTCAAATATGCCCCTCCTACCAGGTTTCATAATAAAGTTTATTCTCTATCCCAAACTCTCTTGAAAGAATATTTGAATCATTTCATAGATCAGGTTCATCATCTATGTTCCATGAAAATAATCTTAGGCCATATTCAGCTACACAGTCTGGCACAGTCTTTCAGACTATGCCTGGCAGGGAAAAAAAAAAATGGATTTTTTCTTCCTTTAAAGTTCTAAACTGAATGCCTCTGGTGTGGTTCCAAATGTACCCTGATTTCCCTCTTTCATTGATGAATGAAGGTTGAACCTTCACTTCAAAGGTGGCAACTGGCAAGTGAATGTCCTTCAAGCCAAGGTCAAGAATCCAGTGCCACCTAGAAGAGCCAGAAGAAGGGTTGGGACATGTTTTACCCAATGGTGATGGTTTCACTCAACAGTGGACCTACTCAGACCAAGCCGGAAAGAAGCAACTTCCAAAATGGAGTAGAAATTGCTTGGGGGAGTCATTGTCTTTACTGTTCCTAAAGAGCACCAGAAGGAGAAGATCTATTTATTGGACCAGGTGTGAGAAGTGGAATCCACCCTGTCGGCCTCCCTCCAAGTCCTCCCTATCCTTGCCCTGTCTGGCTAATGACTTTTTTTTTTAATTAAAAAAAAAATGCTCACCAAAAATACCCACAAGCCCCCACCCCCTTCTTAAAAAAAATACCCAAAAGTCCCTGGGTCCGGCACCAATCAGCAGCTCCATGAATCTGTGTCTAGAATGAATCTGTTACAGGGTCAGCACCAGCATGCCTTGTTTTTAGAAACAAACAGTAAACAAAACTCATCCTGATCAGTTTTATGACAAACATGATTACAGCTAGCATGTGAACGGAGTCGGGAGGGAGTGTTGGAGCTCTGGTGGGCCTTGCCTCGCACTGGGAGAGTAGGGGTGCACACAGAACATTTGTCATTACTGCCAATGAACTAGCTTTTAATTTTTCTTTAGTTTCATTTAGTGGTACATGTATTTAGTGTGGTGTGGCCGGCGCGGTGAGGCCAGCAAGCGGGGGGCGGCCCGGACCCCTGCTCAGAGCACCAAGCACATGTGCTTCTTCCTGGGTTTCGGAGGCTCCAGGGCGGCCAGGATGGCCTCATCAAACACGTTCCTCAGGCCCTTCTGGGTGAGCGCTGAGCACTCCACGTATCCGGCCGCTTTCAGGTGTCGGGTCATCTTTTCCGCCATCTCTGGGGTGATGGGCTTCTGTTTTTTCCTGGCCAGTTTGGCCAGCGTGAAAGGCTCGCCTCGCAGATCAGTCTGGGTCCCGACCAGCAGGAAAGGAGCCTTTGGACAGTGGTGAGTGATCTCCGGCACCCACTTGCGTTTCACGTTCTCAAAGGAGCTCGGCCTCACCACGGAAAAGCAGACGAGAAACACGTCGGTCTGGGGGTAGCTGAGGGGTCGCAGGCGGTCGTAGTCCTCCTGCCCCGCCGTGTCAAACAGCCCCAGGGTGTGCGGCTCCGAACCGATCAGCACCGTGACCGCATAGTTGTCGAAGACCGTGGGCACGTACTCCGAAGGGAATTTGTTGGTGGTGTAGGAGATGAGCAGACACGTCTTCCCCACTGCGCCATCGCCCACCACGACGCATTTAATCGTGCGCAACAGTGGATTCATTCTGCTGAGGGCGCTTGGCGTACTTCAGGTTAAGGGAATTTGCTGTTTGGAGATGATGATTCTACCACTTGTCAAGAACCCGGCCAGTCCCTCCTTCAAGGAGTTTTGGGGAAAACCACGAAAATGACAGTTTCTGGCTAGAGCTGAGAGATCAACCTCAGGTCTCTGCCGGGGGCGGCGGGCACAGCCGCACAGAGCGTCGAGGTCCCCTTGGCTCCTGGCTCGGGAGGAAAAGCAGCACGGGCTGGGTGGGGGTGGGCAACGGTCCCCAACGACTCTGCTCCGGAGGAGGAGGAGAAGAAAAGGAGAGGGGAGTTGAGGCCAAGCTCCAAAAATAAGTCTTTCACGCCACGGTTATATAGCAGTACCAGCATGCGACCTCGCCCCTCCACATACACGGCCTTCTTCCCAGGTAGTTAAAAGAGGGGGGCAAAGTAAATATAAAGCTATCGATATACTCAATAAAAATGGTTTATGCCAAAAGATAGAGAGGAGAGAGAGAGAGAGAGAGAGAGGGAGACAGACAGACAGAGACAGAGAGAGACAGAGACAGAGACAGAGACAGAGAGAGAATCAGGATGGCTACCAAAAGATTTATCCAAGTTGGACAAGAGGATGTATTAAGAAGAGCATCACTGTTGCTATTTGGGTATGTAAACCTCCCCCTCCCTCAGTTTACTTCAACATTTCTGAGGCCAGGGACAATGTATTATTCAAATTTCATATCCAACAAATATGCCTGAAGCACCTCTATACTTTATCCCTCTTCTCAAGGAGTCTATAATATGTTGAGGATAAATGAGACAAGTACAGGGTCTTCCACAGAGCAAGGAGCAGAGCAATAATAATCATAACTCCAACCCCCACGAGAAAATTCAAGTGCGAAGCCCCAGCTTTAAACGCTGATCACGAGACCAACGAGTCAGTTTAATGCTCTTCGAAGGTCTGCTGAAGGGAAAGCAGCTTAAACATCATTAGGGGCCCAAAAGAGGGGGAGTTGTTTTTCCTTTCAAAAATGAAAACTGATCATTAGGTACTTAATATTTATTGTATGAATGGACGAATGTGTAATTTGATCTAAGGTTAGGGCGGTCAGTTTTTTAGCCTTTTGTTTTTTCAGTCATGTCTGACTCTTTGTGACTCCATTTGGCATTTTCTTGGAGAGGTTTGCCATTTCCTTCTCCGGCTCATTTTACAGATGAGGAAACTGAGGCAAATGGGGTGAAATGACTTGCCCAGTGTCACACAGCTAGTAAGTGTCTGAGGCCAGATTTGAACTCAGGAAGATAAGTCTTCCTGACTTCAAGCCTTCCCTTTATCCACTGAGCCATCTAATGCAGCGCCAGTGTCTGAAACATATATTCCTCCTTTTTTTTTTTTTTTTTTAGATAATAAGCTCCTCAAGGAGAGAGACCCTGGCTAATTCTTTATACTGCACATAACCTCCACGACAGTATTTTTAAAATAGAGAGTGCTCCATAAACCCAATTTCTTGCTATTCTCTCTCTCTCTCTCTCTCTCTCTCTCTCTCTCTCTCTCTCTCTCTGTCTCTCTCTCCCCTTCTCTCTCTTCCTTCTTGTTTCCTTCTTTTCCCTCTCTCCTTCCCTTCTGTTTCCATTTTAGGAGATTGTGGTTCATTCTTCATACTCGAAGAGGACAAGTGACATGACAATGTTGCAGTCAATGGACAGCATGTCCGACTGTGGCTAATCAGACCAATACTGGCTGGAATGCTCTATTACAGGTCAGACATATGTAGTCTGCATGAACATTTGGGGTGAAGATGGTTCTAAATTTGTGCATCTCACATTTCTTTTGAGCTACTACAATTCTGCTTTGGCATGATCATGCCATGCTGGGCAGTCCTGTGCCAGCATCACCATGTGGATACCAAAGTTCCTCAGAGAGACGTTGAGAGTGTCCTTGTATCACTTCTTCTGACCTCTGTGTGAGCTTCTGCCTTCTGTGAATTCTCTATAAAATAGTCTCTTGGGTAAGTGTACATTTGCCATTAGGATTACACAACCAGCCCATATGATTCTCTAAAAGGCATCTGGGATGGAAAGAGAAGTCATTAAGGACTTGAGGTCAATTTGGATGGGAGAAATGTCTAGTGGAGTTCTCAGGACTCTGTCCTTGGCCATCTAGGCCCTTAGGTTTTGTTAAACATTTTATTTTTCTGTTTGTTTGTTTTGGTGAGGCAATCAGGGTTAAGTGATTCATCCAGGGTCACACAGCAAGTGTCTGAGGCAGAATTTGAACTCAGCTCCTCCTGACTCCAGGGCCAGTGCTCTATCCACTGTACCACCTAGCTGCCCCTTGGTAAACATTTTACATGATGGCATTGATCACATAGTCATTCAAACTGCAAGTGACCCAAAGTCAGGAGGGACAGCAGTACCCACAACAGTTTCACAGGCAGCCCCAACCAGATTAAACTGTCATTGGGAAATATTTAACAAAATAAATAAAAATATCATACAACATAGATAATATCACATTTTAAAACAAAGTCAACACGCATCCCCAGGGAGCTTTACATATGGATTAGGGGTTCCTCTTCCTATTTTAATTTAACACCAGTGGACTAACACACTGGGTTCAGTCAATAAGAGAGAATTGGACAGGGTCAGATGCAAAGACTTACAAGTGGCTGTGAATCAGTTTCACAAGTACAGAATGAGGGAGGCCTGTGTGCCACAGTTCTGAGCAAGGCCAGTGGGTGTTTAGAAGGCGGCCCCATCTCAGACCCAGCTGCCAGCTCTGAGCCCTTTGCCCTCATCACACCTCACCTGGGCCATCACCTTGGTTTTAAAAGGACACTTATAAAAGCTGAAGAGCATCCAAGAGGAGGGTGACCAGGATGCTATGAAGGTATGATACGAGGATGGGCTGGAAGACCCATGCCCTCTCTGGAGAGGGCATGATGGATATCTCTGAGGATTTAAGGAGTGGCCCAAGGAAGAGGGACAGGATTTCCTTTGGTTGAGTTCAGGGGCCAAAAGAAGAATGAGTGAAAGTTGGACAGAGGCATGTATAGGCTGGATGGAAGAAAAGTTACCCCGAGCCTGGTCAAAGGTAAAGGGGGCTGCCCCCACTGGCAATTGGCTCCCTCCCCTTCCTTGTACAAAGACTGATTGGGCAATTTTACAGGATCTGTTCAGATAAAAGACAAACCAGATGACGTTGGAGGTTGGTTCCAACTCCAAGATTCTGTGGGGAGGATGAGGGAGAAGACATCCAAAGGATGTGGGGGTGGGAGGAAAGAAAGTCAAAGGGCTAGGAGGGGGAGGGGCAGGCTAAGAACGGTAAAGGCCAAGAAAGTTAAGCGGACAGCAGCTTCATTTATATGAAAATGCTGAAAATACAGACAGGTCAGACTCTTTCTTGATCCAGAATGTCCCATTTAAGTAGGGGAGGAGAGAGAGGATGGAACACCAATGCCAAGGTGAGACTTCAAAGTGCCACAATCTACAGGTGGCAGATTCTGCCAGTGGCCCTTTCTCACCCTGGGAAGCATGATCCCACAGACCGGAGACATGCAAGAGTCTGGCTCAGCAGATGCCCTGTTGCCATCCCAACACACTTCCAAGGTGATTGCTCCTTATAAGGGAGGGATAGAACATTGTGAGTGGCACGTGGCAAGGTTTGTCTTCATTCCTTTGCTCCCAAATCCAACTGTTGAGGGTTAAATTCACCTTTTTGATGCCAAAAGCAATTGATTGGCTACTCTGTCCTCAGGCATCAGTATAGATATATGTGCAAAATGAACTGGCCCAGCAAAGCAAACGGTCATGTAATTGAAGCAGAAAGTCACCTTTGCTTTAATTAGCTTTAATTAACCTCCCCACCCCCCATCCCCCTGATTATTTCCAAAAGCACCGGAGTCAGTTAAGACTTTTCTCTGCGTTTTTGTTCGACGTGCCAATGACCTCAGGTCTTTATTTCACCTTGCTTGTGTTGATATAGCCTTAGTTAAGAAATCTCACTTTATATTGTCTCCAAATCTCACATTCAATTTTGCAAGGACATTTTGGAAGCCAACATGGTTTCAGGGAAGCGGTTCCCAGGAAATGTGCAGGGGCTTGTGTCCATGAAGAGCCCCAGGGTTGGTTAGAACATGTGCTCAGGTGCTGAAGCTCCTGCAGAACCCTCTCAGGCCTCCCTCCTGCCCCACATACCACCTTTTCTCCAAAGACGACTACCAGGGCCAATCCACTTGGAACTCTGGAACTGGACAGGAAGCAAGCTTCTGATTTCTTCTCCAGCAATTGGTTTTACCAAAGGAGGCCATTCCTGGGGGAGAATGACCTGGACTCTTTCCATTTCCTTAGCCTTTGGGACCTACAAAGCATCATGGAGCTTATGCTAACTGTAATCATTTAGAAAAGGGGAAAAGTACAAGTGGAGCCCCAAATTGACTTTCTACTGTTCTCAGAAGGATGGAATCATCTTGGTTAGCAATGCCATGAGACCTCAGCGCTGGCATCTTTATATCTACCAAGATCACCACTATCAGGACCCAAATTTCACTTATAAAGGGGTAAAGGAAAAAAAAACTCAATTAAAAAAAAAACAAAGTTTTCACTACAGAGGAAACTAAGGGGTATAGGAGAAAGAGGACTGGACCTGGAATTGGGAAGATAGGAGTTCAAATCCTTTCTAGTCTCAGATACCTGCTAGCCATGTGACCCTTACCAAGTCAATTAACCTTTATCTGCCTCAGTTTCCTCAACTAGAAAATGAGGATGATAATAATACCTACCACCCAGGCTTGTTGTGAGGATCAGATGAGATACAATTTGAAAACATTTAGCACAGTGCGTGGCACACAATAGGAACCTAATAAATGCTAGTTTTCTTCCTGCCCTATTTCCTCCCTTACTCCTTTTCTCTCTTCCTTCCTCCCTCCCTTTCTCCCTCCCTCCTCCCCTTCCTTCCTTCCTCCCTCCTCCCTTTCCTTCCTTCCTTCCTCCCTTCTTCCTTCTTTCTTTCTTCCCTTTCTTCCTCTCTTCCTTCAAGCTGGATATAAAAACAATAAAATAGTCCTTGCCCTCAAGGAACTTTCATTCTACTACAGGCAACAACATACACCTAGATTAGTCAATGCAAAGTAATCCACTTTGTATTGGGGTTGCAGTACTTGGGGAATGTGTGCATTTTTTAAAGTGTGTAAATAGCTTTAAATCAAGTTTGAACCGGACTAGTGTTGCTTCTATTAAATTTATTTCAATGCTTTACGTGGTTCATTTTGTGATGGGAAATTTTCCTTTGCTGGGAAAACCTTCCTTGACCGAGACACTGATTTACAAGTTCCATTTACTGATAGTTCTTTAAAAAGTGTACTTTGAGTTTGACTCGCTGTTATTGTGGTTTTTAAGGGAAAAAAAAAGTTTAGCCATGGGGCTAAACCCAAGAAGCTGGCTGTCAATTCATTCTACTGGGAAGGGATACAATACACAAAAGAAGGTGGCAATACAGGATGTGATGTGAGGTGTCCTTATTTCCTCACTCAGGGCATGAGGCACGCAGAAATCTCCCTAATACCATAGACAATTCAGTTCAGCTGGTGTGGGTAAGGAGCAAGGATTCTGTCCAAAGGGCAAGTTCCATCCTCTTGAATCATCAGGGAAGGCTTCCTGGAGGAGATTTCCTTTGGGCCTTGACACTGACATTAGATTGGATAGGCAGCAAAGGAAGAGGCAAGAAACGGGTGCATCAACACAGGCAAAGGGCTAAGAAAGCTCAGCACGGAGTTGAGAGTGAGTGAAGAATGGGTAAGTGAGCTTAGACTAGGAAAAAATGTGTGGAGAGGGGGAGACAGAGATAGAGAGACAGGGACAGACAGACACAGAGACAAACAGAGAGAAAGAGAGATTCTTTAAGTTCTTTCTGTGTGTCAGACACTATTAAGCCCTGGGGAGACCAATCCAAGCAAAACCCCACTCCCTCCCTTGAAGAAGCTTACATTCTAATGTAGAAACACAGCATCTGTATGCTAGGGTGCTCAAAAGCTGGAGATGTGGACTGGGGCAGGGCTGTTGGGAAGGCATTGGACCGAGAAGGTCAAAAAGTCAGAAGAGTGAGGAGGCAGCCAGGCCTGGGCAGATTCTGGGCAGCCTGGCACGCCACCTGGCTTGTGAGACCAAGGAAGACAGACATATTCCTGGCACTGGGGCATCACGGACAATCCTCTGCAGGAGAATGATGTGATCGAAACTGAGTGTTAGGAAGATTAATGGAGTGAAGAGAACAGCTCACATTCCTGCCCATTACAGTTTACAAAGCACTTTAGAACCCATATAAAGTGTGCAAAGCTTTTCATATGTATTCATCCAGCCCTAACCTTCCTCCTAACCTCCAGTGTTGCATCTCCATTGGCCTACTGATCATCTCAAGCTGGATGTCCCATAGACATCTCACACTCAGCATGTCCAAAACCAAGCTCATCTCTCCCCCTAAACCCTCCCCCTACCTCCCTATTACTCTTGAGGGCATGGCCATCCTCCCAGTCCTTCGGGTTCCCAATCTAGGAGTCACCCCTGTATCCAATATGGTGCCAAGGCCTGTTGATTTCACTTCTGAAGCATCTCTCAAACACGTCACCTTTTCTCCTCTGACATTGCCACCACTCTTATGCAGGTCTTGGTCACCTCACACCTGGACTATTACAGTAGCTGCTGGGGAGTCCACTGCCTCAGTTCTCCCCCCACTCTAGTCCATTCTCCTTTCAGTGATTTTCCTAAAACACAGGTCTGACCCTGTCACCCCCCTGTCAATACTCTTCAGTGGCTCCCTATTGCCTCCAGGCTCCAATACAAAACATTCTGTTTGGTGTGCAAAGCCCTTCATAGCCTAGTGCCCCCCTCCTGCCTTCCCAGTCTTCCTATCCCTTCACATTCTCTCCACCACCTACTTTGAGATCCAGGGCACTGGCCCCCTGGCTGATCTTCAAACAAGCAGCCCCACCTCCTGACTGAGCTGCTGTCTGACTGTGCCCCCAGCCTGGGATGCTCTCAGCTAAAATCCTGCCTTCCCAGCTCCCCCTCAAAGCCCCTCCCCCTTCTCTGCAGTGGTCATCTCCAATGGATCCTGTCTATCTCGTGTTTGTGCATAGTTGTCTTCATCTCATCCCCCCCATTTGAATGTGAGCTCCTCGAGGGCAGGAACTGGCTCTTAGCGCAGTGCCTGGCACACAGTAGGTGCATAATAAATGCTTGCTGTCTGATACCTCATCTGAGACTCTCACCTTCCCCACTGAACAGCAGAAAGTCACTGGATTTGGCCAAGGAGGACCTGTTGGCCTTGGACAAGTAAACGCCCTTAGCCTAATGATAATATTTCTGAGTTCTATTCTAGACCTAAAATCTATGATTCCATGAAATATCACCATATTTCCTACTATAATCCTGATAATACAAATATTATTGTGCCCATTTTAGAGATCAGAACATGAAGGCTCACAAAAGGCAGTCACACCGTTCTTCCCAGCTCCATGGCCACCTCTTTAACCACTGGGCTATGCTGCCTTTCTTGGCATGGTCTACACCAGGAAGGATTGTAAGAAGTCTGTTTGGGAGACCAGTGAGAAGATCAAGGCAGCCATGGAGATAAGAGGCATAATCAGGGCCAAGGCACAAGGAGGGCATAGGCTGGAGATGAGATAACTGTAACCACATAAGTATGTATGCGTGTAGGTGAGTAGGTATATTCAGCAGCAGTAACTGAAGTCAGTTGGGAGCGGCTGGGGAAAGAGAAACAGATGATCTTGGAGGATCTGGACCATTCCCCAGATGCCTCCCGGTGGGTCCCAGCACACAGCGGGGTTCAAGCTGACTACTTCAGCAGCTCCCAGTTGTCCTTGGAGAAGAAGGCGTTTGGGCCACTCAGAGAAAGGGGACCACACAGTTCACAGGAAAGCCGGAAGTCCGGCTCTTGAAGAATCCAAGATCAAAGTCAGAGGCGGCTGGGGGTTATTAGCGAGGAGACAAGGAGATAAGACCAGAGGCAGCGGACAGTCTGGATGCGGGCTTCAAAAGGAATCCATAGACACGAGGACAGGCGGGGGCCAGGGAAAGGGGCACGCAGGATGGGGTCCTTTGGGGTTCCCAGTCCCAGGCCAGCTGGGATCTGAGTCCACCCTCTCTGCCCATACAGTCTGCTCCCGCCCCGGGTGCCTAGACCTTGTGCAAACATCCAGTCACAGTTTTGCTATAAACGCGGGCTCAGCCTAACTATGGTTAAAAACCGTCTAACCTCAGGGAGAGGGGCTGCTAGGGGGCACCATAGAGCACAGAGAACCCGGCCTGGAGTCAGGAACCTTCATATTCCTGAGTTCAAATCCAGCCTTAGACACTTCCTAGCTATGTGACCCTGGGCAAGTCACTTCACCCTGTTGCCCTCAGTTTCCTCATCTGTAAAATGAGCTGGAGGAGGAAATGGCAAACCTCTCCAGTATCTCTGCCAAGAAAACCCCAAATGAGGTCACAGGGACTCAGATGCAACTGAAAAATGGCAACAAAATCATGTCTTCTCCAGCTGAGTTTTCTGGATAGCCAAGGCTTTACTCCCATTTAAACAACAAAACCTATAGATCCTTCTCTGTTGTTCACAGCTTTGAAACAGAGCCCCCAGTTCATGTACCCTTCTGCCAAACCCTGACTACAAATAGCAGCTTAGGTAGGGGCCCAAGGCCATGAGGCCCTCAGGACCCACATGCAGAGGGATGTATGCCGGGAGCCTCAATGGCCCCACATTATTGCATTTGTGATCCTTGGTGCTTCTCAACAAGTCAAAGCAATACTCATCTATTAAGCACTTACTGCATGCCCAGCTGGGGACAATGACACCAGCACAAAGACAGTCTCTGCCCTCCAGGAGACCGCATTCCATTGGTGGAAAGCAGGGGAAGGCTGGTAGAATGGCAGAGAAAGTCCAGGGAGCCAGGAGTGGAGCTCAGAGAGGGGACGTCAGGGATGGCCTGGATACTTTCCTTAAAGCACAGACAGAGGAAGGAATGAGCCGATCAGAAGGAGGGGGAGCGAAAGTCCCAGGTGCCAGACCACAGGGGGGGGGTGACCCTCCGGGGGGGGGGGGTTTGGGGGGGGGGGGGCGGGGGGGGGGGGGGGGGGGGGGTTGATTGGATAGGAGCCCATCCCCTTCTGCATCGTCCCATGGAAGGGCCAGGTTTCCTGCTGCCTCTAATTAGAGCAGCCCCCATCCCCCTCCCCCATGCTAGTGCCTTCCATCCACTGCCACTGCCTGTATCTTGCTTGTACGTGGTGGTTGCATGTTGTCTGCCCCTTAGACAGTGCCCTCCTTGAGGGATGACCGGCTTTGCCTTTTGCTGTGTCTGGGGCTCAGCGACATGCCTAACTCATGGGGGCCATGAAGAACTGCTCCCTGGCCTGAGCTGAGTGCAGCTGCTCGGTGTGGGGGAAGGCTTCCTTATGAGGCTCCTTGCAGAGAGGGGAAGGGCGACGGTGTGCTCCCCTGGGGGAGGGGCAAACAGACTGGTTTTTAGCATTTATTTGCCATTTGAGTCACAGAAGTGAGAAATGCCAAACTAAACCAATCTTTTGGACCAACAAGGACAGTGGTCATAACCCTACCTCGGGCTGATTGAGAAAACTGGTTCCAAAGCCCCTAGACAGCCTGACTCCTAAACAGAAAATGGGGCAGGTCAGAGAAGCACAGACTGAAGGCTTATTGGTCCACCCACCCACCTCATTTTGCAACAGAGGAAACTGAGACCCACAGAAGGGAAATGAATTTCTCAATGTCGCACCAGTCATTAGTAGGAGGGTCCAAATTCATGGCATGACAGGCTTGGAGTTGGGTATAGACCTTAGAGAGGGTCTATACAATGGCTTTATTTTACAGATAAGGAAAATGAGGCTCAGAGAGCTTAAGTGATTTGCCCAAGTTCACACAGGAAATAAGTGATAGATTCAGGATCTGAATCCAGCTCTCCTAATTCCAAATCCAACCACCTTGCCAAGAGAATAACTAGGAAATCCAAGCCAGAGGGGCTGTGTGGCAGAGGGGAGGGAGCTTCAATGAAGAAGTCAAAATTTTGTCCCTTTGGGAGGCCATCACATCTGAAGGCAATGAAATGAAATGTTTGCCAGGGGACAGATAAGATCCTAATGAATCATTAACCCTATCTGATATTTCTTGTAGCCTATTATAGCTTATAAAGAATAATGTAATAATGGCTATCATTTCTATGGCATTTTAAGGTTTGCTGAGCAATAAATATGTATATGTGTACATATGTGTATATTGCATAGATATAGATATGGAGATGTAGGGGAGAGAGAGAGAGAGAACCTTGGTCACAGGATAGTTCTGAAGGTCAAATGAGATTATAAATGTGGATTTATGTTTACAATCTTATTTGATCTTCAGAACCACCATGTGAGGCAGGTACTATGATGATCGCCATTTTCCAGATGAGGAAACCTAAAGTTCCAAGAAGTGAGATGCTTTGCCCAAGGGCTCACAGCTATGGAGGATTTGACTCCAAGTGAAGTACTATCTTCTCTTCTCCATAAACTCTGTATTACCATGTCTGAGCACCCTCTTCCATAAGTAAAATAGACTGTGCTTAGTTGTGAAGAAGGAAGGGAAGGAGGGAGAGAGGAAGGAAGGAAGGAAGGAAGGAAAGATGGGAGGGAGGGAAAAAAGAAGGAAGAAAAGAAGGAAGGAAGGAAGGAAGGAAGGAAGGAAGGAAGGAAGGAAGGAAGGAAGGAAGGAAGGAAGGAGCATTTCTTAAGTGCTTACTCTATACCAGGCAGGGGGCTAAGAACCGGGAATACAAATCCCAAAGCAGACTAATCCTTGTCCTCAAGGAGATGACATTCTAATAGGAGAGAGCACACCCAGGGCCGTTAGGGTTTCAGTGACCAGAGGACCCTCTTTAGCTCAATGAATTCATGCAGGAGGGTGGCTAATAAGTCATAGGCAGCCATCCTTCCCAGGAAAGGACTGTTGATTTGGTGACTTCTCAAAGCTGAAGGTCAGGAGGGAGTGGAGAACAGGCAGCACAGCAGAAAGATGGCCCCACCTCTTGGGGTCGGCTTGATACGAAGAACCCATGCCAATCTGGGGCCTATGGCACTAGAGAGCCCGGTGTGAGGCCCAGGCTGGAGCCAGGGGTCGCGAGCTAGCTGTGGGACTGCCTAAGAGTTCTCACATGCTGGGACTCCAGAAAAGAGATGTGAATGCAGGGAAAATCAGGCTGAAGGAACCCAGGACCCTGGCCCACTGCCCCACTTGCATAGGCTGGATCCAGTGTCTTCAGCACTAAGTCATCTTGGCCTAGTTAGAGAACTGGAAGGGAATCCAAGGACCCAGTCAGGAGGTGGGACGATGGCCACTGGACACAGAGAGTTCTTCCTCCCCGTGTTTGCTTCTCTCTGTCCTCCGGGCTTGCTCTCACTGTCCCCAAAACATTCATAACCAAGGACATCTGAGTCAGCATGGCCACCATGATGTGTGCCCCCGGGGTCCTGGCCACGTTTTTGGTCTTGTGGCAAAGATCACAGCCGAGGGAAGGAAGGCCGGCTGTCTAGTGGACATTCTCTTCTTCTGCAGCATCACCTCAGGGGGCCCATTGCCCTTGGAATGAGCTGGCCACACCTGGGGTATCAAAAGGGCATCCCCAGCACATCTCCAGCTGATACCCCTGGCCCTGGGGATACCTCCCAAATGAGAATGGTTGGTGTTCATCCCTTTTGCTTTCCTCCTGTTTTATCCACGGATAGGGAGATGTGTGTCTGATTGAAAAAATACATCATACCGGCTCTTCTTGGAAAGGATGTTTACCCTGCCGACCCACAAGCCAGCTGACACAGAGCTAGCTGGCTGGCTGGCTGATGAGTTATGGATCTTATGTCATCCCTGAGGGCCCCCATTTATGTGGACAATTGACACTCGACTGTAGGAAAGGAGAAAGCCTCATTTACTCTGGTCTGGAGAGAGACTCATTTGGAATAGATTTCAGTCCCTTGAGCCCAAGGCTGAAGAATGATGGCATGTCACATAAAGACCTATTCTGATTCTAAAGAGGGAAGCCACAGATGCCCCTGTGGCACGGCCCGCCCTTCGGTGTTTGGTGGTGGAGAGGACAGTCTGAGCCTGCCCCTCAGCAGGTGGCCTGAATGTTGGCTGCGTCTGTAAAGGAGGAGGGCCAGCTGAGAGTGGACAGTCAGCAAGCCTTTGTCTGGTTCCCATGCCCAGGCCATTGTCATGGCAGCCACAATGAGCAAGGTCACAGGAAAGGGAATTACAAATCCAGCCCCTGTCATCAGGGAAGGGATGGGAGAGCTCCCTATGGCCAAACAGGCAAGTGATGGCTGAGGTTCTAGAGGCTAAGCCAGTGCAGATGGGTCATCTCAGGGGTGTTGTCTCTTGGGGCGTTCTGGGAGGAGGCCTGCATTCTTTGAGGGCTCTCCAAAGGCTCTGTTCAGCACTGCCTTTATTTTCTAGAAGCTAAAAGCCTTGAGCAGCAAGGCAGTCAGTGAATCTGTAAGGGGCTGATCGGTGAACTGATGGCTGCCAAATGCAGTGAATTCTCCAGACTGGAGTTTCTCAGTCCCTTGAGTGTGGCCCAGCCCTGAGCTGCACACCTGAGGATGTGATGCCTCATGCCTAAAGGCCCATCTACAAAGCTGTTGATATTGGCCTTTGCCTCATCCTCCCCTGCTATCTGTCCTCCTGGGCAGCAGCAGTTGAGAATTTGAGCCATCCTGCTGATAAGGAGCCTAGAGGCATACTTTGCCAAGAGTCCTTAGGCCCCTACAGTGGGGCCCTGTCTCTGTCCCTTCCCTGGGCCCTGGTGAGATTTAGAATGAATGACCCAGGTTTAATGTGGCTGTCCTGCCACACCACTGAGTTTGTTAACAAACACCAAGTTCCATCCCAGCAGCCTTTGTTAAGCAGTTCTGCTGCAAAGGCAAACAGGAGAGACTTTCTAGGAGAGACTTTCTAGATCCAAGGGAACATGGACAGGGGTGGAAGGGGAGCACCTGAAACTGCCTCTGCTGGAATCTCTTTGGAACTCTGGACCTTCCCTAAAAGCCCAAATCTCATGAGAAGATCAGTACCACTACCTCCTAGGACTTCGCTTGGAAGAAGCAGGAATGCCATCCTCATCAGTCTCCTTATCCCTCGGTCTTAGTGTACAATGATTCTTGTAGTTCTTCCCTTGTTTTCAGTCATGTCCATTCTCCATGACCCCATTTGGGTTTTTCTTGGCAGAGATGCTGGAGTGGTTGTCCATTTCCTTTTCCAGCTCATTTTACATGTGAGGAAACTGAGGCAAACAGAGTGAAATGACTTGCCCAGTGTCATACAGCTAGTAAGTGTCTGAGGCCAGATTTGAACTCAGGTCTTCCTGACTCCAAGGCTGGCACTGCTATCCTCTGAGTCACCTAGCTGTCCCGACCAATGCTTCTTACTATTTCTCAAACTCAAAACCCCCTTGAAGGATGACGAGTTGACATTGAGAGCCTTGATCTTGGAGCCAAGAGCACCAAAGTGCAAATGCATATATTTGCCCCTGTGACCTTGGGCAAATCCCTTCTTTGACCTCTAAAATGACTCAGATAAGATCACATTGGGGGTCCTGTCTAGCTTTCCTATGGCCTAGGATCCTTCAGGCTGTTCAGAGGAATGTGCTTCTGGCCTCAAACTTCCCAGGAGGTGAGTTCCTTAAAGGTCCATCAGTCGACCCCGAAACGAGGGCAGCCATGCCCTTGAATGGGGCCCTGCTGACCCAAACTGGGTGGTGGTGAATTTGTTAAAAAAAAAAAACAAAACAAAACAGTTCTCACTAATTTTCAAGTCAGTGAAACAACTATTTATTAGGGTCATATTATCTTCAAGCCAGCACTAGAATATATCACAAATGTGAAAAATGCAACTGACTCTGGCCTTGGGGAACAATCCATCTGATGGGGGGAGGGACTTGGACATAAGAACAGGTAAGTAGAAAATGACATAGAGATCCCACAGTGGATAGGATACAGGAAAAAATGTTGTGAGTAACTTTGAGGAATCCCCCAGTTTACAGAATACCTAAATTAGAAAGCATTAATCTAGTGTGCAATAAACCCTAAGATCCAAGCTTTAGGGGAAACAACTCACTAGTCAACAAAATCTGCTGGGAAAACCGAGAAGAAATCTGGCAGAAATTAGGCATGGACCAATATCTCACACCATATTTCAAGCTCAAAATGGGTCCATGATTTAGTCATAAAGGGTGATAGCATAAGCAAATTAGGGGAGCACATTTAAAATGACCTGCAAAATATATGGCTAAGAGAAGAGCTTATGACTAAGAGACAGAGAGGATCACAGCAGGCAAAATGGATAACTTTGATTTCGTGAAATTAAAAGGTGTTTTGCACAAACAAAACAAATGCTGCCAAAGTTAGAAGGAAAGCAGAAAACTGGAAGGTAAAAATTTATAGCAAAGTTCTTTGATA